AAAAAAAAAAAAAAAAAAAAAAAAAAAAAAAAGAAAGAAATCATGTAAGACTACACTTTACAAAACCTTCAGTCGACTTGATACCAATGGTTAGATTCCCAACTTAATGATTTATATGCTTCAACATGCATGATTTAGAAGATGAATTATGTTCAATACTTGGATAGTATCTGGAAGAAAAAATTCAATGATATTAGCTCAATGTCTTATGAATTGAGTCTTGCTTTGGCTTACTATTTAGGCAATGTGGTTATGCTGACGATAAATATTTTGCTCTTGTTAAGAATGAGAAAGCTCTTATACAATCTTAAGAATAAGAAACAGAAGTGGGAGTGAAAGTCCAAAAAACATAGGTGGGATCGAAAGTCCAATATTCGTTAATGTTCACAACATTTAAATAGGATACAAGCTACCAACTAAATCCTAGAAATAAGATAAAATATTCTACTAACCACATCTGAAAATAAGAAAAAGGTAAAAAATCTAAATGGATTACGAGTATATAAAATATATTCCAGTATTACTCTGTAAAATAATTTATTTTTTTCACCATATAGACTTAATTCACTTTTGAAGTGGTCCCTCAGTCTGAATATTCTGAAATCAACTATTGAATCATTGTATCCCCCTTGTTCTTGCAACTGTTTGCAGAGAGTTTGGCCAAGTTTCCACGGAAGACAAACGCTTCACCAGGATTCCTCAGCCAAGCTCAAAACACTGAGCAACAATTACCTCAACCCCAGCAAACAATTGATCAAAACACAAACGGCGACCAAAGCTCTGTTCCGGCTGCTGCTAACAATGGTGTTCCAAATGCAAGTAACCCCTCGAATCCAGCATCAACATCATCTCCTGCTAGTACCATTGTTGGGTTACTCCACCAGAATTCCATGAACTCCAGACAGCAGAACTCTATCAACAGTGCTGGAAGCCCTTATGCCGGGAATTCTGTGCAAATATCGTCCCCAGGTTCCTCCACCACGATTGCTCAGGCACAAGCAAATCCCTCCTTCCATTCGCCTACATTGTCCTCATCTAACAATCCTCCGCAATCATCAATTGGAACTGCAACTAATCACGTAAGTGCCACAAACTCTCCGGTAAATGTTCCCTTGCAACAGCCAACACTCTCTTCTGAAGCCGATCAATCGGATTCCCAGAGCTCCATGCAAAAGATTATTCAGGAATACATGATGTCAAACCAACTGAACGGGATGAACACAATGACTGGTGTTTCCTCTCTAGCAGAGGATGTGAAACCTGTTAATGGGATGTTGCCAGCAAACAACATCATGAGTCTCAATGGACGGAACTGCCTGGTCGGGAGTGGAACTGCCAATGGTGTTTCTGGTATCAGGAGCATGGGGTATGGCTCGATGGGTGGTGGAGGACTTGCTCAGGCTTCTATGGTCAATGGAGTGAAGTCTGCAATGGGAAGTAACTCGATTTCTAACGGGAGAATCGGGATGGCGTCATTGGCTCGAGAACAGAGCATAAATCATCAAGATTTGGGAGACCAGCTCCTTAATGGTCTGGGAGCAGTGAATGGGTTTAATAATCTTCAATTTGATTACTGAAGCTGCTTGTGCAGCTACAAGATTAGCTTAAATGGGCTTTCTGATGATGGAGTCACACCATGAAAACAGGGCATGGCTCATGTTCTGTACTGATTTGTTATTTAAATATTAAAGCAAAATGTGGTGGTTGGAGGTGTTGCTATGATTGGATGGGGTGAGTTTCTTTGGTTTCTAATGTACCATTTGTGATTTTCCCCGGTTTTTTCTTTTTTCCTTTTCGAGCTTTCCTTTGCATATTAGAGCGCCAAAATTTTGTCCAGATGAATGGAATTTTGTTGTGTCATACAAGCAACGAACGTTAACAGGCGGCCACCTTCTTTAAGAATGTAGTACCATTGACAGTCTCATCAGTTCGTAAGAAATGACCATAAAAATACATACACTGCTCAAGAAAGGACCTTGTTCTTAGGCCACGTTCGTCAGCCCCTTCTGTCCCAGTAGGTGCACCAGCCATCGAGACTTCTTAAATTTTGTCGATTCGACCAGAAAGGAAACACGACAAGCGATGATATACAAACAAAAATGTTGTTTTCTGCATATTACTTTTCATCACCTCATTTTGGCATCATCTTTATTTCCTTTCCATTCATCTTCACTACATCACACACAAAATTGCATTACTTTTGTCTGCCCATCCGTTTGCCCATCCTTGAGTGGTTTCTCGTTTGTGTATTAGTTGCTATCGTACGCGTTTAGGAGCTACTCGTTCATGTAAGAATTGTTCAAGCCACTTATATCACGTAGGATTAAGTACATCACTTATTGTCAAAGTTTTCTCAATAAATTTGATGTCCTATCATTTGGTATTAAAGTTCTTACAGTGCTTTTGATTTCATATCATTATGCTTCTTTGGAGATTTTTTTAATACGGAGTCTTAGTGTAACTAGTAACATAGACAATATCTATATCTATGAGAACCATTTGTTTAATACAAATTAGAAATTTCTTTATATTATAGCAAGGATGAGTCTCTTATATGAATCTTAGTGATAAGATTAAGATGGTCTCCATTACGTAAATCAATGAGTCTATCAATTTAAAAACCAACTTATCAATATTGGTTAGTTAGAAATTGCTTGTTACACTATAAAATCAATTAAACACCAAATGAAAAACCTTGATATGTTCATCAATAATAAAGTTACGAGTCCAACCCTTTCATTATTAGTTGACACATATTGTTCTTAGTCGTCTCTTACGAGTCCAGGAAGCCAGGAATCCTAAATATAAGGGATCCCTCAAAATAGAGAAGGGTGGGCAGGGCTTCTGCAAGGGCCTCCCCTCTTCCCGGTCAAGATAGATGGGAAGGAGGTTCAGGGGAAGGAGTTTACAGTGAAATCCAGTGAAGGAGAGAAGCCGAGGTGAAAGAAAGAGCTACTTTTACCTCCTTTTATATATGTTCAAAATCGATTTGAGCCGGTGAATTAGATTGAATGGAACCGAACCAATCGGTTCATTCCAGTCTTTCCTTTTAAGAAAAAAACTAAACTTTCTATTCATCCGTGGTGACACAATTATCGATTTATAACCTTAAAAAACTTAGAAAATACCTTATCAAACCATAATATATATACTATATATTTAATTTATACCTAAATCTAAAAAATTTATTCTAGCCTGATTGAAGATTTAAAATTTTTTTGGTTAAAGATTTGTAATATGATCAATAAACAGCTTATTAATCATATTTTTATCCGTAGTTTGAAGAACATAAGTACAAGCAGATGATTACATCAATTTTTTGAAAACCCTAAAATTATACATACGCAAACAGCACACCATTACAATTGTTCTAAATACTCGATTATAGGACGTTCTACTAAGAAATTAGCAATCCTTTTTGTATTCGGGAAGGCAATAAATGGGTTTTTGATTCCGCGTCCTGAGGGCTTTCGAGTTAAGGAGACCAGTACAGTCTTGTTTTCAGTCTCTGCCGAGAAAATAATACCATGCCGTCTTCCGGTGTTTCAGCCTTGGATTCAGAAGAAGAAGGCAGGTCGAATGTGGGTAAAACAAAGGAGAACCCCAGCTTCTTTGATATATATGGAACCGATGTATGTATTGTTAGTTCATCATTCAGCTATTCCATTTGCTTTTTTCAAATTCTTCAAGCCGTTGCCTCTTCTTTTTTTCCCATTATTTTCATCTTCTTTATATTCATTGATTACTGCTGTTGTTATTTTGCTTGAATTTGAAGTTCTGAAACAATATAGAAACGGATGACATGGTGCATTCTGCTACTTTGATTCCTGTTGTAGGCCAAAGCTGAGATTCTTTTCAAAACTCCCGAGTCTAATTCAACTTTAAGTCTGCAAGTGAGTTTACTTGGTTGCTAAGTTTCTTCTGATTTGAAGACAGAATTGGTTATGAGATTTTTTTTTGAGTATCACTTATGTTTTTCTGCAGGATGTTCAAGGGCTTGTAACTTGGGTGCTTGCTGAAGGTTTCATGCCATCATGGGTTTTCATTAAGGTCGATACTTTTCCTAACTTTAGGTTATTGATATGTCTTACTTGAATTTTGCGTGAGCAATAAAAATCTGATCATGAACGTATTGTTATTCAATAGAAATCAAATTTTGGTGATATTTGTCAGTTTAAAGGTCTATGACCTAAATATTTTTGAGCTATATTCATCATTTGTTTCCTCCTTTCCTTCTGCAATTGTTGAGCTATATCTCCATAGGAATGTGACCAGGAGGTAAACCTTACTGGGATCTTGGTGTTATATTATTTTTCTCGAAAATTTACGCACATGCTTATTTTTTTAAACTTTGATTGTTAGTTATTCTAAGGTTGTTAATTTGATGGCTTACTTTTGCTCCAAATGTTTAAGATTTCCTGGAAGTACTTACAGAGTTAAATATATGCAGAATAAACCCCTGATCCCCAAAGTGGTTATGGTTTATCTCCCTGGCCTGGATGCTGCTCTGTACATGTCACAGACCAAGATACTTCCTACGTTTAAAAAATTATGCGGCAATCCGAGGGCAGTTTTAGCTCTTAGGTGCTCATTCTTTCATTGAAGTTTGGAAGTTTTTATTCTATTTACCTTTTAGAATGTTTCTGGGATTTTCTTAATGCTACAGTTCTCATGTTGTTATTTTTTATTTTTTTGCTAGCTGTATATCAGATAGAATGCAAACAATTGATGCACTTTTGACATGTAAGGTGAAGAGAAAGAGGGATGCAAATAGTGTAGACTTAAAGAATAATTTGACGTCTGAACAAGGTTTGTAAACCATTTTGGCAAACTTTAGTTTTGGTCTAGTTGTCCAGTTAATTAATTTTCTTGTTGTGCTGTTTTGAAATTCTTTTTACTACCTTGTAGGAGTAGGGAATTAATGTACTTTATTATAACTATTATTGTTATAAATTTCTTTACCTCCTTGGGGGTATAACATGGTGATAAACTTTTGTGTAAAAGAAAACTGTGCTACAAGAAGTTTAAAGGCGAGTCTACATAATTATGTGGGCATCAAACATATATCCCCCTGAGAATAGGGCATTTTAGTGGCAATGAACTTGCTGAAAGTGGTTTTGGTTGATGCCTTTTTATCTACCCTTGAATTATGGTGAACTGACGTTCTGACTTGTTTGCATTCTCCTTCTCTCTCGATATGTTTTCTGAAATGTGTACAGAAAGATTTGGCCCTGAAAAAGAAACACCGATATCTATCAAACTCCCGAAGGAGTTACCTTTCCCTGTTACATATTATACGCTAACTGCAAAAGAACTGGAAGACAATGGCTATCCTTTCAATCAACCAGGTGACTTGTCTTTGGCCCTTTTTCACTTTTTTTCCGAAGTGAGAAAATTTCTAAGTTAATAGTTCATTTGATTCAGGTTTTATACATACACTTCCTGCTCCTATTGGATCTTCACCTTATGAAATGTTGGCGCTTGACTGTGAAATGGTAAATACATTTTTCTTTAAAAATTTGAGACAGTAATATATTGAAGGAAACGAAGTTAATTCTTGAGGAAACAAGCATACTACCCTCCCCCACCCCAAATATATTTGACAATCATCCTGCTTATAAATATCTTCGATTGCTTTTATTTCATTTAGTTTTGACATCTTACTGCTCATATTTGTATTATTGTTGATAAGATACTTTGTGGCCTTTCAAAAATCATGAAAAGGTTCTTTAAAATTTCACATATCTAGTTTCTTTTTTTTTTTTTTTTTTTTTTTTT